TTAACACTTATTAAAACGTTTATTAACACCTGCTTATGAAAAAATAGTACTAAAAGAAAATGTTCCTTCATATAAAATAGTATAGCTTCATCTTTGGTCTAGGCAAGTATGACCATGTTTCTAGATTTCTTAGGGAACTCAAGTAGCTTCGTATTCGTCTGCGCAAGAATGTTAGAATCCTTTGTCTCCTTTTCCATATCCTCTATAATCCTTGACTCAGTCTTCAACAGATCCTTGCAGATCCCACCTCAAATTCCTTCTAAAATGTCTCACCCATAACACTGGCTTCGCTTCCTATTCCTTCTCAGTATATGCCGTCCGTCTGTGGAATTCGCTGCCAGCAGAAATTAGTTCTGTCTCAGTGTTCAAAAAACATCCGAAGGAACGCTATTTATCTTCTTGCCCTTAATTTTTCCCTTGTTCTTCTCATTGTTCCTCTTCTCGTCGTCCATATTATATTTATGTACGTATTTATTTATGTCTATTATCATCAATATCATATTCGTATGTGTAGGTATTTATTCATTATATATGTACTTGTATATACATATAAACCTATATATGTAGTTCCCATAGTTATTAGTATTAAAATGTATTTATATTCAGGTGTACACGCTGACTACCTTTTCTTATATTTTTTTCTACTAGGGCCTACTGGAAGAAATTTCAGATTGAAATAAGTTGAGCCCTTGTACATGTTATCTTTAATTAAGTTGCTCCTGCATTATTTTTTGTGTTTACAGAATATATAAATAAATATAGGTATTAGTGTAATAGTGATGATGACGGGTTAAAGTAAACGAAATTCTATTTAATCCGTCATTTAGATTATCAAAAAGCAATGGACACTTTTGTTTCTTTTGTCAATCAACCAAATATAACATATTTTAAATTAATATATCTTTATCATGTTTTGATAATGTAAAAAATACGTTTCCAATACTTTTTGATAATCCACCTGATAGATGAAGAAAAAAGTTTGTCGTCACCTATATTAAGCTTATTTAAAATTTGATCCTTTACTGACACGTTAAAATTTATGAGATATGAATATTTGATGTGTTTTTACTGCTCTAACATCTATTACCTACGGCGCTACTTGACCGTGCATAATGGTTTCAGAAAGTCATCTCCATAACATGGAGCAGTAAAGTAACTTATCTTGAAAAAAACAGTGTCATGAGAATTTATATAGCACTTAGACGTTAAAAAACATTGGAAAGTGATCTTAATATTACGTAAGTTAGTACATAAGTTGGTATTTTTTAATGACATTGCTTTTTTGTATGAAATTTATCAAATGAGTAATTAAAAACTTTAATTGTTATGCATCTCTCGGGAGAGATGCATAACAATTAAAGTTTTTAATCAAAATAAAATTATCGCACCGAATAAAATGAAATAGTTGTGATATTAATTTACTTCATACTGAGTTCATACTAAGTTCATAGGCTGACCTATGTTTCATGGAATTTAAACATAACCTCAAAAAAAAATTAGTTTTCCTAATAATTTAAGTTCTCAGAAGTGTCCGTCAATAATCTTTGTTTTTACAGTCATTTACTTGCGATTTCGAACCTAGAAAATAATATTTCATGATTGTTGGTTCTTAGGCTAACTATGTATGGACGCAGAACAATGTCCTTTCAGCCAATCGCATTGTACTTAACTGAATTCAAAAAGAAATGCATATGTACCACAATTTGTATATCACTTTATTATTTTTATCACGTAATAATAATTCACATTCCTTTCATTTAAAATGCTATGTTATTTAGCAAAAAATAATCCTTATGATTAACCCTTTCGATGGTTATCATAAAATATGCCGAGTTTTTTTTTTCGAAATTTCACGAGTTTGATTCCCAATTGTAGCAGGCGATTTTTAAAAAATCTGTGAATGCAGTTCTAGTTATTATTAAAAATAAAATGATGTCTTCTTTCAGTAAAATGTCCTATCATCAATATTTAATATACTTTCCTTACGTGTGAGGTAGCCGTGGGACGCCCTGTATTTAAGTCGTATGTATACAATATTTGCACACACTACTGTAAAAAAAATATATATTAATGATTCGTTAACAAGAAGCTTAAAAACCCTTTAAATTCTTTAAGTATTTAAAAAGGCAATATTTATGAAATCTTATCTGCTCCGAGGGTCTGCTTAAGTTTCAAGAGAGGACATAGCGGATTTTCCGGTAGAATTGGAGTGCCCGTATGGGGAAGAAACCCTTTCACAGAAAAATAGTACTACTGTTTGGTTGTGTTGTGTTTCTGCCTAAGGACCCAGGGCTCCACTGGGTAGGTGATTGGGTCAGGGTAGGCAACGGAGCGAGTGATATTTTTGGTATCACAAGCGACTCAAGGCTATGGTGACTGCTTACCATCATTATGCTTTTAACATAAAAGAAGTTGAGAAAAATACGCTAAGCTCGATAATGGACGTCATTTGATATTTTCTGTAACACGATATTTTGTGTCCTGTGACAACATTGCACTACCACACTCCGGTTACAATTGTAGCGATGTATATACACACATCAAAAGTGTCTAGGGATCAACATATATTTTTGCAATAACTTTTCTCCTGATTGATATTAATTAAAATTTTCTTTAAGGATTCATCAAATAAAGTGTTTTCGTTTGTCACAGTAACGAATAACCAAGTCACCTTTGCATTAATAAAGAAATTTGCCATTTTCCTAATAAAGGGATTTTTGACATTTGAACCACTAACACAAAAGTTCGAAAAAAAGACTGAAATAACAGTTTTCTCTAAAATTTTATTGGGTAACTTAAACAATTAATAATCCGTATTTCTACCGCGAACACTAACAACACAAGAACATCGGTTTGGCATACTCAAAATGAGTTCATCCAAATCACGCTGTGGAATGGCCGCCCATGTTCGTTGCAACAACAAAAAAAGGTCTTCTTGCGACTGGATACCCTCCATATTCGGCAGAGCTCTTCTCTGTAGCATATCCCATGCATGCTCAATCGGGTTCAAGTCTGGCGACTGAGCAGGCCAGGGCAGGACATTGATGTTAGCTGCGGCGAGAGTCTGTCTTACAACTCTTGCGGTGTGCGGTCGTGCATTATCATGCATTAACTGAAATAAGGGACCGATTTGCACTTGTAGAGGAACGATGACGTCTGATACAATCGTCTCAGCATAAATTTGAGCGTTGAGGTTGCCTCTGATCCAAATCAACTCAGTTCTTCCGCCGATCCAAATACCCGCCCATACTATGATGGTTCCACCACTATAAGGATGGACTTCCTGGCAGGATTTTAATCGCTGTTGGCGTCCAGGGGTTCTCCAGTGTCGTATACGTCTTGTATCCGGTCTCATACCAAAACGAGACTCATCAGAAAAGCACACGAAACGCCATTGTTCTTCTGCCCAATTTCTGTGTTCAAGAGCCCATTGATATCGAATCCTACGATTGTGCATTGCTATAGGTGGTACCCGTAGCGGTCTTCGGGAATGAAGGTTCACTTCATGCAAGCGGTTTCTGACTGTTTGGTCGCTAATTAAGTTCCCTGAAGAGTGATGAAGCCTCACGGCTAACATCATGGCGGTTATTGTTGGAGCTCTTCGAGTTAAGATTTGAATGTATCGGTCTTGTCTCCGTGTGGTGCAGCGATACCGTCCTCCATGGCGCTCAGCCACGGTACCAGTGCTTCGGTATCGTGTCCAAAGTCGACTGATAACACTCTGACTTGTATTCAGAGCTAAAGCCACAGTACGTTGCCGGGAACCAGCTTCTATCATTCCCACGGCTCTGAGCATTTCTTCCCTGCTTAAATGACGTCGCCGCTCCATAATAACGTTGGTTTTAATCAGTAGTAGGGAAACAGTAGCACTAATAATGTCTTCAATGCGTTGTATGTTTTTATAGGGAAAATATTGACAGCTGATTTTCATCTTTTACTCGAATTTGATTCACAGTTCCTGATTCAAATTATGAAATGCACCAAAAAGGATCCATATAAATTTATAAAATCATAAATTTATTACAAAGCCACATCTCAATCTCAAGAAATCCGCATAAAAATGCTTGATCCCTAGACACTTTTGATGTGTGTATTTGAGAAATAACATGTGCTTTGGACAATACGTAGTTTCGACGTGTTTTTATTGGGGCTACGCGGCTGCTTTGTTCAATTCAGTATTGTTCAAATATACTGTTTTATGAAAAAATGTGGGCTGACAAGAGATTTGAATCAAAATATTTTGGAAACTTTAATCTAAATCAGTTTTATCAGTGTGTTGTTAAAAATGTTAAATTCAGAGTAACTAAGTACAGCTCACAACAAGAAATTTTATAAGCTTGTTAATTAAATACTAATAGTTAGAAAATACCCCTTATTTTCATATATTTAAATTCTATATAATATATTATAAAGACGAAAGTTTGTGAGTGTGTATGTTTGTTACTTCTTCACGTCTAAACGGCTGGAGCGATTTTAATAAAATTTGGTATGGAGTTAGCTGACACCCTGGATTAACACATAGGCTACGTTTCACTGCGGGAAAGTATCCCTAATAAACCGCGGGGCACAGCTAGTTCTATATAATATGTACTATACATTGCACTAGTGGCCCGCCCTCGCTTCGCTTCGGTGAAGAGCTGTGGCGTAGAAAGTCATTGTGTATGTGTTTTGTTCTAACACATACACAATGACTTTCTTCATATAATTATAAACCTTCAGTGAAAATTTATTTAACTGATTGTGATTTTTTGTTGCGTAGGTTAGGCCCCATTGAATAGAATGCACCATTTCTCTGCTGTTAAAAAAAGTCTGTCCCTCTTACCGATGGTCCATGCCCTTATTTTTAAATGTATCTAGTGACGCATTGGTTTAAAAATACTCATCAATTTTATCACTTATAACTATTGCACTAATATGATAGTATTTTTCATGTCGCATCGCGTCGCACCGGATGTTTCTAATGTGGTTCTGATTATAGAAATTAGTACATTTTGATTTGACTCAACACGCGTGGCGTGGCGTCGCGTTTCATAAGTCTTATGTTTCTTCGGTCATATTGTTTCTTTCTTTTTTGGTTGAACGCACTAATCTCAGAATTCCGATTCGAAAAAAAATGTGTTGGATAGTGCATTTATCAAGGAAGGCTATAGGCTATATAACATCACACTAGGACCAGGAAGAGCGGAGCATCGATGAAAATTGCAAAACGGGTAAAAATATTCCATTTCTGAGCTTTCTTTACGTGCGCTGGGTAAACAGTTCAAGTTACACAAAATGATGTATGACGGAATTGTTCCGCTTTAAAAGTTCTATAAAAAGGCCGCGACAGCATAATTATGTCCATCTTTAAAGTTTTACTCACTATAACCTTTTGTGTTTATACTTAATAAGTACCTAAATTGAGATTCTTACCTTAGACTCTTGGAGCAGCAAGCGATGTATCTGCCATTGCACCAATTGGTTGTCGAAAAATAAGTACAGTATAAAATAAATCCAATGTTTTCTTATCGTCAAAAAGGTTTTGCTTAAAATAACTCCGGAATCAGTTTATTACAGCATTCCCCGCTCCGAGATCCAGACATTAATTTTGGTTATCGGTTAGAGTGTAGACAACAATAAATCTGCCGTCGATTGGACCAACAAATCTGTTACATTACACAAGGATTTATTTTAGTAATCGCTAGTATTCGAGGGCTTACGTAAAGTGAACGTTCATTAATTAGGATTAAATGATAGGCGAGCGTTAGAAAACATCATGCTTTTGGATATTTCTGTTGTTATGTTGTCTTTCTACGAATCTTTCTAAGTAAGATTTTGTTTTTTTATGTATTGTCTAGCACCACAGTTCCATTCAAATGAACGGAAGGAATGATATGTTTAGTGCTCTTCAAAACTAAACTTACAAAGTAAAAATATGAATATGATTTTTGTTTATTGTATCATTGGACAAATAAGGTAATGTGTTGGCGACTGGCTGCGGCTACAAACCTTTTATATTACGTTTATTTTTGTACTTGCTTTACTTTTGTACGAAGGTGAGGTACAAAAGTTTGACATTATTCATTGTTGATAGATCTTTGTTATTGTCTTGTCACTACTACTGCTTACAAACATATATATTGTTAATACGTATTATATTTTATTAATCGCTACGTGTCGTTTTCCTTCATTATTCTCATTTAGCTCAGTACAGTCCACCGCTACACAATATAGTGGCACCAATGACCGACAAGAACCAATGATAGACATTCCCTTGCGTGATTTATGAAAATAATAATGAATAGTAATATAACCGATCACTAAACATGGTAACGCCGATCGTCTGTAGCTCGGTGTTATCACACTCAGCGGCCACCCACACTAATTTTAATTGATCACAGATAAAAATGTCATTGACCGGCTCCTGTGGGTCATGGGTGTGAAATTCGTAGTTTCTTATACATTTTACAGTCATGATCATCACAAAGGGTCAATGAATATTTTAGGAAATCTAAACAAACTTCATTTTTAACAAATATGCCTTAAACGTGCTATTACTTAATTCCACTTTGAACACACTCTGTGCCTTGTTTAATGTGTTTGAAGTAATCAATGTTTTTTTCTAATATTTATAACGTTTTACAAGTAAAAATATTTACTACTGCTACTTTATTTGTAAATAATTGAGACGATCACATTCAGACATTTTAAATGATACCTATATTGTAATAATTGAAAGTCTATTAAATAATTGATAGTTTCTCATTGTTTTTAAAATCAAATTTAACAGTCTAGTTAACGTATGTCACCCGGAATGATAAAAAGATTAACGATACCACATACATCTAAATTGGCTCAGGCATTTAGAAAATTTGGGGAATAAAGAATTGTACATATAAACCCATTACACTCTTTTTTGGGCAGTTGTGTAAAAAGTACACAGATGAAAAAGTATTTAAAGGCTAAGTTACTCCTCTAATACTTACGCATGCAATAGACTACTTAAAGGTCTCTGAAATTGTGATATGATTATAAAGACGCTATATTTGTTATTGTTTGTTCATTATTTCGAACAAAACTGACAACAGAATCAAACTCTATTTATTATCTGTAAGTAATAAAAACTTCCCAGCCCGTTATCTAGAATAGTTAGCAATTACTCTCCCTAACTAAATTATATGCCTAATAATGTTGGAAAATTATGTATTTTCTTTACTGAAAGTCAATTAAAATCGCGTTAAAATAATTGAAAAATAACGAGTACTTGAATATTTGCAAGGTATTATGGATTTCACTACCGCATGTCGAGTGAGTTCACAAGTTAGGTCATTAATCAAACAACTTGGCTCCTCACTTCCAGCCTAGCCTATCTGTTGGGTCACAGATGCTGAAACATAGATACAGTTACTGCTACTTAATCCATTCATTTTAAAGATTTATCTTAATTATACGGAATTCAGATAATCAGCATTAAAAGGGACCTTAGCCGAAACGCAGCGATGAAATTATTTGAAAAAGTTAAATAGAATAAGTTTAGATTTTAGTTTTAATTTACTATATTTTTATATATGTGAGATTAAGTGAAAAAAAAACACTAAGTATATTATAAATTAAATGGAAAAAGTATTTACCTATAATAACTGTACTGATACATGTTTTTTTTTAATTTTATGTAAATATTACTTTTGTCAAAATCACATAACCTCCCCTTGGGACAATAACAAAAAATATGTGTTCTACATATATATTGATCAGATCAATCTCACCCAATAAGTCATAATGCATTTTTAATTTTTATTGTCAGCTTTTATTCAGTTTTAAAGTTAAATGCTGAAAATATTTGAAGCTGTGCGCTATTTGAACTTTGCTGTACAAACGATTAGCTCAATAATGCTATCGTCATTTTGTTTTTGTATCGTATCAACATTAAAAAGGACCAGTAAATCTTTTACGATAGCCAGAACGACACAGGTGGAAGTCTGATCTAATTCTTGAGCTAAATACCGGTGATTTCAGCGAGAGCGCAACCATAAATCAGAAGGGACCCAATTCCATAAAATCGATAATCCTACCAGCAGCAAGCAGGAGTGCCAGCAGGGGAATTTAGTTCTTATATCTATCTAATTGAGAAAAGAGTTGCAACGCAAAACTTTTGTGAGTTTAAAAGCTTAAATGGTTAACAAAGACCTAGCAGATATCCAGGTGTTTGTGTCGCACGAAGCGTGCGAACGGCTCGTTACCTCATTCGAGTCGGTAGGATGTTAAAGCTGAATAGATTGGCAAACCAAAGGGTAACTCGAAACACCCGGGTCGGGACAAATTTCCGTTTATGAAACAAATATTTGTCTCCGGTCTCATGTTTGTAGTAACTTTGTTGTTTTCGGTTTTCCTATTGGACTCCATTATTTAATTTAGAAACAGAATATGTTTCTTGTTGATAACCACAAACGTGATGTTTGTCCAAAAACAATTGTGGAATCAAGCTCTAAATCAATTTTTACGAGCACTTAGTAGTTAATTTATTCTTTTGAATGACGATTGGCATTTTTATATTATTTATATATTCAAGAATTGCGATCTAGTGTAGAAAGGAGATAGAGTCTGTGCGGAAAGAGAATGGGCGTGGCGAAAAACGCAACTAACATTAAGATTTTTATTTGGCAATCAAATCCAGCAATCTGTAAAACGTCAAAACTTTGTATTAATACGTAAAACCTTACAAATACGGTAGAAAAGCACTATAGCGCCCTTCGATCTAAATCCCATTCTCTTTCCGCACAGACTCTTGCAATTCTTCGGTGTGAGTCTTGTAACAGACTAAATCGGCTATAATAACATTCTTTAAATCCAAAATTTCAAGTCTGTAGGTCATTTAGTTCCGAAGTTAAGCGAAAGTTTCGCATTTATAACACTCACTCACCAGAATAGAACTAGAACTTCCCATAAACTCAGAGAGCTGAAATTTGGTACAGAGTTAGGGTTTAATGGCCACAAAAAGGGAAAACTAGGATAATCGAAGAGATGGAGTACCTGGTGACCCTGATTATAAAACACAAGAGCCCAACCAAACTATTAAAAGAGATCGACATACCGCCTACTCCTTTACAAAAAATATTCAACTTGGTGGGCCGCTTCATTTGATGTCAAAAATCGAAGGTCTGAAGTATCTGAAGTTAGAAAAAGTCTGAAGTTCCTTTTTCATCATCATCATCATCATCAGCCTATTAATGTCCCCACTGCTGGGGCACAGGCCTTCCCTATGGATGGAATAGGGAGATTGGGCCATGACCCACCACGTGGGCCCAGTGCGGATTGGTGGGTGCTAACGACTGCAGATGCAGCCGGGACCAACGGCTTAACGTACCTTCCGAAGCACGGAGGAGCTCGAGGTAGTAATTTTTGGTCACCCATCCAATGACCGACCACTGCGAAAGTTGCTTAAGTTCAACGATCGCAGCCGAACGCGCTAATCACTTGCGCCATCGAGCTCCTCATTCGTTCCTTATTATTAAATGATTAAAAAAATATCACAATTTAATGAAAAACTCAGAATTAAACTGTTTTCAAAGTTTATTTCAACGATATTACTTCATATTACTAAAGGGTTACTTACGAGTAACATAATGAGAAATAACTTATCCATCGCTAGTAGGTACATACTTAATGGACTACCTGTCTTTATTAATCAGCTCGAGATAATGTTGATTTTGTAATTACAAACGATAATATTACAAAATTCGAAGCAAATAATATAAGATTTTATAGGTAAATCATATGATGGAAGGGGTTCCATCACCCTATAAGTATTTCACTAATGTAGCTTAGAACCAAGGTCCCATCTATTTCTATAGGGAAATTCATCATAGTCAATTTAGCTACTAGGGTGTGAAAACGTAACAAACAAACTCACTCAGTATACTAGTGATCCGTTCCGGCATTGCACGAGCGAAAATTTATATCTTGATTGACATAGGCTTTGTTTCTTAATCAACAGAATTATAGACTACTGGACTTGTTTTCTTCTTTTCAGTTTTTATTGAAGTAATATTGAAGCAGTCGGGTTTTTTGATTTTTTAAATTTACCTTTTATATCTGAACTGAAGTCAAGTGACGGTTTCTCAAAGTGGTCGTGAAGATGAACCGATCTTGCCTTTCAGTTGTCACACGAGATCGTGATCTTCTTCGACGCCGAACGAAGCTGCCAGTCTCCAAGTACCTCTTATACACTCTT